AGGCCTGGGGGTGCCGGGGCACCGGGGCTGCGCCGGTGCTCCGAGCCGGCCCGTGTTGTCCCTGCTCCCCTGTCACACAAACGATGCTCCGAGACCACCTGTCACCAGGAGAAGCTCCTGGCGTAGCTCACTTCGAGTCGGAGCCTCCCATCCAGACTGAAATGCCCACATGTGCACCCATCCTCCCTGGCCCCCCACCCTGCACCACCAGCACGGGTCAAACAGCTCCGAATTCCAGCGGTACCTGAAAATGTCCCTCTCCTTGAAGAGGTTTGAGAACCCTGCCCTCGGCCAAAAGCACAAACACTCGTCAGGTATTGCTGTGGCAGTAGGAAAGTTATTCCGAGTTTTGGCCCCTTAACTCAGATTTTGGTCAACGATATGATTGTGATGGACCCACCACGAGTTCTGCTTTCCATGGTACCATCTGTCCACCTGCCTGCATGATCTGTCTTGACTCAAGTCATATTCCCAAAGCTTCCCTGGATTTATAAGGCAGGGAAGTGAAATTTCACACAGGGAACATCAGCACGGCTGCATATACTGCAAATTTTTTGAGGGCCAGAGAAAGTGTATTGTTTTCTGAAGAAATATCTGTTAAAAAAAGCTCACAAATACTACTTCATCAAGTCTCCCAAGTACTTAACATAAGCATAGCATCACCCCAAGTCTGAGCTAAGGAGACCAATATGCATTGAGTTATGATTTCACACCAAATCTTCTATCCTTGTTGGATCTCTGAATAATACTTCACAATATCACTCAATATAACAATTTAAGGCAATTTGAGAAAATGATAATTTACCTTTTCTTGAAGTAACAAACCATCATTCTGACAACTTCATCCATACTGTAGGAAATATTACCTGGTGGAAAAAGGCAAGGCCAGCCAGCATCCATCATTCTCCAGTGCTCATCCTGGCTCTCTGGTCTCCGACACAATAATTGGCACTTTCCTATTTAGCTTGTGTTACTACAAGGAATTCAACCACTCTCAATGGTTTTCTTGTAAGCATTTCTTGGCAGGGAATGAAGAATTGGGATCTTTGGGAAGTAGAGATTAACACATGTGGTACACACAGAGAATACTTCATGTGGGACAGCCTGCTCTTGTGCATGAGATGCTGGTGAGTGGCTGTTCTACACAACAGGAGGCAGTTTTCAACCACATTTCTGTCTTTTAACAACATCTGCATTCTAAGATACAACTGTAAAAGTGAAATCTCATTTAAAATCAGACAAATCAACAAAAAGATGCATCCCCTGTTTTAAAAGGAGCATTTTTAGTACCAAGATTTTAAGAGAGGTTGTCCATGCGAAACAACAAAAATACTTGACTAAGAAAGATTATGACTTCCAGCATTTCAAGGCAATCAAGATTAATTTCTGGTTTGTAACAGATACTTGGAAGCTGGATAAGCAGGAGAAATAATTGGGAAAAAAAAGCCATTTTGATTTAATGGCTTAACTTGATGATCTGATTTTCTCCCAGTTTTATTAAATGTGCTATCACCTCTCAGGGATCAGATGTGCCTCATAAGCTTGTCAGTACTCAGGATTTCCTCTGTATTGTAGGACTATCAACGTGTGGTATCAGCAAACATTTTCTGCCACCTTTCCAATAGGAAAAAAAATGTTTCCAAATAGATATTCACTTCATTTTCACACTCCTGTGTTCTTGCATCAAGCCAGCATTTAACCTATCTGTCAAGTAATACTTAAGATTAGGATATGAGAAAGTGCTTTTTTTCTGGCAACAATTTTGGTTTATTCCCCATGAAACAAAATTACAGTTTCTACTTTAACATGGACATTTGTTGCTTCTTAAGAGAATTTGAAGACGCTCCTAAAAGGTTTGGAAATCTTAAACCACGCTAAAATCTGAACTCAGACATCGGTTTTGTATCTTCAGAGACTTCAACTGGAGTTGTAACAATTCTGGCTTAGCATGACACTTAGCAACTGGTTTCACTTGAATCCACAGAAATCATGGAAACAATTTGCCTGCAGACAGGGAAATTGCAGGGTGTGGAGACAAAAAAAGGAGGAGTGTGACTTCTTTTCCTCTGACTTTGTTGCTTGCCTGGCATCCAGCCTTGGAAACACTTCCCAATTTCCCAGAGGGATTGCTGAAAGCTGGGAAGTGTTCAGTGCAGCGCTGTCTACAGGATCAGAATTTCTGGCAGGACCCTTAGGAGCAAAAAAATTCTTTCACGAGGGCAGTAAACCCCAAGGGATGATGTGAAGGCCATGTACAGGTGGAAACAGCAAGAGTATTTTGGGATTTACTCTGAAATCTGGTTTATGGAAGGTGATCCACAAGCATCCAGCAAGTAGATGAAGATGTTATTACCAGCTTGCCTTAAGCTGGTGTTTGGATGATTTCCTGGCAGTTCTGGGTCCCCTTTTTTTTTAAAACGAAATTATTTGAGCACGTATACCAGGCAACTCCTTTCCTAAATTTTAGCCTTGGAGGCTGCGACACATTCCTTCTGATATGTAAGGGACAAAGGTGCTTGTTTATACTTCAGGTAAAGAGCTTGTCTGAGTGCTTCCCTGGATCCTGGCCAGAATATTCTGTTCCTCATCTCAGCGGGAGGTGCTGTTCATGCCTCATTTCTGCCAGCAGCTCTGCTTGCAAGGCTTGCCCATCCTCCCACCCCCCGTGGAACTGTTCATCATAAAAACAAATTATAAATTACATTACTACATCTAGGAGGAGCCTTTCTTCCCAAATAACCTTATCAGCTGGAATACTGCATACATCATGTCATGCATGTGTGTGTAAATGAGCAGGACTTGCAGCCAAGCAGCAAAGGCACATTGCAGTTAAGGCTGCCATGGAAAGAAAAGGTCAATTTCTTATTTATTTTGATTAAACCATGAAAATTGCTGGCAGCTTGCTGTCAAGATGCTGAGATTCTGATGCAGTTTGGTTTTCTTCTTCAGTCCTCAAATGAGATTTCCCTCCAGGCTCGGTTCAGTAAAATAATCCAATCCAAGCATTTCAGCCCACAGAGCATTCAGCTCAAATGAAGAAACGCTTCCATGTGGGCACAGTAGATCATCAGCATCTTCTCTCTAAAAAATTCCTGCTTTAGCTGAAGTGCCTGCGATTTATTTGCTCATTTATTCGCTCTGCAGGGTGCGACACTCACTCCTTCTGAGCACCCGGAGTATTTCCATTATTTCATTACCATTGTAACCATTCCCTTCACTGTTCACAGAAATTACTCAGCTTCTCTTTCATTAACCATTTATACTGACCTTATTTTCTGTGCTCTCCTCCTCCAGATTTACAATGCTGTGGTTTTGTGCCTCCTTAATTTGTCCATGCAAATGTCTTTACCCTTCCTAGAACATGTGGAAGCACGAAAGCTGCAAAGTTGCCTTTGAGTGAAGAAGGTGGCATGAATCAAAGGGGACACAGCTGATTTCCAGCCCCAGTACATGGCTTTTTTCCCCTGGAATTACATCCAGCTCCCCCTGAAGTTCACCATCACCATCACCTTCTCTGTTTTGAAAAGGGTGCTTTGCCACCAGCCTGACGGATTGAGGCACCTAACAGTTCACTGAGAGAGCAGGAACAGGAATTTTTGCCACTCCACCTCAAGCAGAAATCTGAACATATGCTGAAATTAACATTTTTTTGTAGTTGAAGACTAACATTGTTTGGACGACTCCCACCAACAATAAAAATCTTTCCAAATTTGCTGTTAGTAAACTGAAGACTTAGAGAATTTAACCCCAAGCCTTCGCTAATGAATATTGTCACCAAATTCACCCAAAGAAAAAGGAAAATAAGAATTTACACGCAAAGATGGCCAGTAAAACTCCAAGGGCTATTTGCTTATTCTTATCCTTGGAGAAAGAGTGTCTTTATATAATCTCATCAATATTGTCTTACACCGAATATTTGTGACAATATTCATTTATCCAAAACTGGAAATACAAAACCAGCATGGGAAAATCAGGCAGCACTTGTCCTCACTAGCACAAACTTGTGAGTTTCAGAAATACTTCCATTTTAGTTTGCACTAGAACTGTAGTGTGTTAACAAGGTTTGAAAAGAGCGTAACTGAGATATTTCAACACTTTTGTGTGGAAAATGCCAGTGTCTGGGGTTTAATGTCGGCGGGAAGATAACCGATTTTCTTGTTTTAGCTCGAGCTAAGCATAAAGCCACTTGTAAAGGCCTTTTTACTTACAGGCAACATTTCAGAAGAGCAGGGAGGGATCTTCTTCGGGATGTCTTGGCTGCATTTTTGCCTGTGGCACTCCTGATACCAGCCCGGCTGTTTCCTGAGGGCTGCAGGGCATCCGCACTTGAGGGCTGGGCACCACAATGGTGTTAACCACTCGAAATGTCTGGCATGCATGTTTTGTGGGTTTTTAAAAAATTCCAGATGGCTTTCCCGACGACCGGCACTCCGGCATCAGCCCACGCTGCCTCTGCCCCTTTTGTGCCGCCTCATGGCTGAGCTGCACACCCCTGCCCCGGCTTCTCCTCGGCTGCTGTGTGCAGTTTTGAGCACCACGATATGGCAAAGACATTAAGCTGAAGGGTGTGGAGGGGAAGCCGTGTGAGGGGCGGCTGAGGGCACTTGATCTGTCCGGCTGGAGGAGACTGAGGGGAGACCTCAGCGTCCTCGGGAGGGGGAGCCGGGGAGCAGGTGCCGATCTCCGCACTCTGGTGACCAGGGGCAGGACCCGAGGGAACAGCACGAAGCTGACTCGGGGCACGTCTTGCTTGGAATAGCAGGGAAAGAAACAAACAGAGCGCGTTCCGACACGGGTACGGCATTCTCCGCGCCGCGCCCTCCCTGAGGGGACGCGCGCGAGGGCGGGAACGCGGCGCCTGCGGGCTGGGCACGCGCGGCGCGCGGCGATGACGCGCGCGCTCTCCCCCCCCCCCGCCGCCCCCCCCC